TATGAATTCGTTATATATTTTAGATATTAGCCTCTTATCAGGTATATGATTTGCAAATATTTTCTCTCATTCAGTATGTTGCCATTTCATTCTGTTAATAGTTTCCTTTGCTGTGCAGAAGCTTTTTAGAATGATGTAGCTCCACTTGTTTATTTTTGCTTTTGTTCTCTTTGCTTTGGTGTCAAATCCAAAAATTACCAAGAGCTATGTCAGGGAGCTTACTGCCTATGTTTTCTTCTAGAAGCTTTCTGGTTTCAGGTCTTATGCTTAAGTCTTTAATTCATTTTGAGTTAATTTCCTTGTATAGTGTAAGATAGTGGACAATTTCATTCTTTTGCATGTGACTGTCCAGTTTTCCCAGCACCACTAATTGAAGAGATTGTCTTTCCCCATTGTATATTCTTGGCTCCTTTTTCATAAATTAATTCACCATATATGTGTGGGTTTATTTCTGGGCTTTCTATTCTGTTCCATTGATCTGTGTGTATGTTTTTATGCCAATACTATATTTTTAAAATTATTGTAGTTTTGTAATATAATTTGAAATCAGGGAGTGTGATGCCTCCAGCTTTGTCCTTTCTCTAGATTGCTTTGGCTATTTGGGGTCTCTCGTGGTTCCATACAAATTTTAGGATTCCCTGTTGTACTTCTGTGAGAAATGCCATTGGAATTTTGATGGTGAATGCATTGAATCTATAGATTTATTTGGGTAGTATGGACATACTAAAAATACTGATTTTTCAATCCATGATCATGGAATATTTTTCCATATATCTATATCTTCTTCAATTTATATCACTGATGTTTTATTGTTTTCAATATACAGGTATTTCATCTCCTTGGTTAAATTTATTCATAGATATTCTGTTCTTTTTAATGCAATTATAAGTGGATTGTTTTCTTCACTTTTCTGATAGTTTATTACTGTGCAGATTTTTGTGTATTGATTTGATATTCTGCAAGTTTACTGTATTCATTTATTAGCTTTAGTAGGTTTTTAAAGGAATCTTTAGGATTTTCTATATATAATACATCATCTAAGTGACAGTTTTACTTTCCTTCCAATTGGGATGCCTTGCTTAATTGCTCTGGTAAGACCTTCAATACTGTCTTGAATAAAAGTGACATGAGTGAGCATTCTTATCCTGTTTCTGATCTTACTAAGAAAACGTTCAACCTTTTACCATTATGATGTTAGCTGTGGGCTTGGCATATATGGCCTTTATTATTTTGAGGTATGTTCCCTCTATAAACAGATGTTAAATCTAATCAAATGCTTTCTGTGTCTATAGAGGTGATCATATGAATTTTATCCTTTTATTTTATTAATGTGGTATATCACACTGATCTATGGATGTTGAGCTGTCCTTATATCCCTGGAATAAATCCTAATTGATCGTAATAAATTATCTTTATTATAATGTATTGTTGAATTTGGTTTGCTAATATTTTGTTGAGGATTTTTTGCACCTCTGTTCATCAAGGATATTGATCTGTAACTTTCGTTTTCTGTGGCATCCTTGTCTGGTTTTGGTATCAAGGTAGTGCTGCCTTATAAAAATTACTTTGGAGGAGTTTCCTCCTGTTTTTTTTTTTTTGGAGGAGTTAAAGAAGGATTTGAATTAATTCTTATTTGAATGTTTGTTAGAATTCACCAATGAAGCAGTCCTGACCTAGACCTTTGTTTGTTGGGGACTTTTTCATTATTGATGCAATCTCCTCATGAGTATTCAAGTTGTTCACATTTTCTATTTCATCAAAATTCAATCTGGGTAGCATGTATATTTCTAGGAATTTATTCATTTCTTTTATTTTTTGTGTAGATATATTTTTATTGAATTATAGTCAGTTTACAATGTCAATTTCTGGTGTCCAGCACAGTGCTTCAGTCATACATGAACATATATATATATTCTTTTTCACCATGAGTTACTACAAGATATTGAATATAGTTCCCTGCACTATACAGTATGAACTTGTTGTTCATCTATTTTATATATATATTAGTTAGTATCTGCAAATCTTGAACTCCCAGTTTATCCCCTCCCACCCTCTCCTCCCTGGTTACCACAAGTTTCAAATCATAGAGTATATATATTCTTTTGCAAATGTCTTAGTCTGTTGAGCAAAAGTATTTTGAGATATATCCATGTTGTAGCCTACATCATTTTTTACTTCTGTATAGTATTCCATTTTATGGATACATCACATTATATCTGTGTATTCACAAACTGATGGGCACTCAGATTATTTCAATTTGGGGCTATTATGAATAATGCTGCTAGGAAATCTGAGTATAAGTTTGGACATGTGTTTTCAATTCTCATGGATAGATTCCTAAGAATGTAATTACTGGGTAAGTTTGTTTAACTTTTAAGGAAATTGTTAGACTATTTACCAAAATGTCTATAGCATTTTACATTTCCATCAGCAATGTCTAGGAATCCACCTTCACATATTTACCAGCCCTTGGTATTGTCTGCCTTCCTCATTGTAGCCTTAAGAGTAAGTCTGTCATTATGGGCTTAATTTTCATCCTCCTAACAAGTAATGAGATTGTTGACCTTCTCCAGCATATGTTAGCCATATATATGTCTTCCTTGGAGAAAAGCACATTTGGCATTTTGTCCATTTTTCAATTGAGTTTCTTATTTTTCAGTTGTAAGTAGTATATTCTGGATACAAGTCCTTTGTCAGACATATAATTTGCAAATATACTCTTCCAATCTGTGACTTGTGTTTCCATGTCTTTAATGATATGTTTTGAGGCACAGTGTTTTGTTGTTGGTGGTGGTGGTGGTGGTTTTCTTTTAAAAAATGAATTCCAAGTTATCATTTAAAAAAAGTTCTAGTTCACGCTTTGGTGTCATTTCTGAGATCTTTTTGCCTAAGTCAGTGTTACAGATATTTAACTTTTTTTCATCAGGCTCGTATCATTTTAGCTTTTAGCAGTGGTATTTTTATGTTTTTGCATGTATTTCTTATAATTTTCTGCAAATAGGATCATGTCTTCTGAGAATAAGGTAAGTTTTGCTTTCCTTTAACAATGGAGATTATTTTTAATTGGATTTATAATAAAATTGTTACTAGAGAAAATTGTTATAGAGGAATAATTATTATAGAAGAAAAGCAGTTGTTCACTATTAAGAATGATGTTAGGTATTTGCTTCTATTCCTAGTCTTTTGAGAATAACTTTCTGCAACATAGCTTGACTAAAACTACTTTTTTTGTGCTTATATTAAATGCTAAGCTATGCTATAGTTATTTGGGGAGTTCAGGCGGAGTACACCTGCTGTGAGGTACTGTACTCAGTACCCTTGCGGACAGCATGTTAAATACAACATTTCCCTGGGTCATTGGTGAAGGTCCTCCTCTATCAGTCTCTACTTGCTAAACTGAGTCACTTTTAGTTGTTTAGTACTTATGGGACAAGGGGAATTAACTAATCAGATCCAGTTTTTCTATATTTATTTATTTATTCAAATAGTATTTAAAATAATTACCCCAACTATTAACAGAAATACCTCTCTTACATATGAATTTATAATGTGGACTTCCAAGATTGGAAAGTCTATTAAAATGTTTTTAAGTTTATTGGAGTTTTCTTCTGTGAATATCTTCTATTCTTCATTTTTCACTAATACGTTTCCATCTATTTTCTCTATACTCATATTCTTCTGAATTTCTGGTCTGCTAACTGTAGAATGTCTTAGATGGAATTCTTCAGAAGCAGGTCTTGTGACGCCAACACATGTACAAATGATTTATAAACAGTATGTTCCAGGAGAAGCCAAATAGATGAATACCATGTAAAGTTGTCAGCATTAGCCTGAGTCTGCAGGAGAGCTCTAGTGTGAGCTAACTTCAGAGTTAGTTCCAAACTCAAGAAAACAATTCAGGCTTTTATATCCCCTCACTGACTAAGGCTCATCATTGAGAGTCGGAGGCCATAAACTACTAGGAGCTCCAAGTTCTCTGTATATAGAGGTAAATCAGGCCCAGTAGCCAAGGACAGTCCTCCAAAGACAGTATTGGACACAGGATATTAGAAGAAAATGCATACAGAGTTGGGGTGTGAGCTTACAGGTAACAAAAAGAATCCAAGTAATCTGAGTGGGGTACTGACAATGCCCACTACATCAGATTTTCATGCTTTGCATTATTATTGAGAATTCTTAATATATTTTATAAATCTAAGTTATTTGATCTTCTTAAAATTGTTCTGGCTTCAACTATATTACAGGACCCAAATGAGGTATTTCACAGATAGTATTTCCATTTTAATGGAAAACATTTAGATAATATAAGTATTCAAAAATAGAACGTTTTTGTTATGCATAGTGGATTGCTAATAAATGAAATTGAATATAAACATCAGTATTGGATAGGAGATAAAAATCTATATACTATCCTTCTCAAATCTAAAATTCAGAATCTTTTTAAAATTATTAAACAGGGGAGAAGGTATAGCTCAGTGTTAGAGTACATGCTTAGCATGCACAAGGTCCTGGGTTCAATCCCCAGTAACTATATTAAAAAAATAATAAATAAATCTAATTACCTCCCCCTCAACAAAAAACAAAAAAAATTTTCTTTAATTATGAAACTCATTGAAGAATTTATATCACATAATTTATTGCATGCCTTTCAAAGTAGGAAACAAAACACTCCAATTTTTGGTTTTTCCTCCTATTATAACAGCCAGATTGGTATTATTTACAAATTAAAGCATGAGGTACAGAAGAAGAGTGGCTCACAAGTGAGGTCTAGGAAGACTTTCAGACTAACACTGCAGCAAGTACGTGCCATGACTGCTCTTTGCCATTTTGAAAGAAAGTAACTTATTACTTTTTGATTTCAGAGGCCTTTATAGCTTGGGTATGTATTTTATAAGAGAAGACATGTTAATTCTCTAAACAAGTAATTATTCTGTTTAATTACTTTCTTATTAAGAAGCCAGCTGATCATGATTCTTCTTCCATACAATGAAGTCTTCAGATTTTTTTAAGGAATTATATTTAATCTCTTTGTCAGTATTGGACAGTTACAAATGCTCATAACATGTTGAACTCTTTCAGATGCTAGGGATGACACATGTACAAGGAAAATAATACTAAATTTCACTGCTCTCATTTTAGCAGAGCTGAAGTGTGCTGATGTCGAATAGACAGTACAATGTCATTTAAAATGCAAGTCTGAAAAGTTAACTGAGAAATATCACATTTAACAGGAAACAAGAGGGGAAATGAACAACAGCATAGATAAGAGTACATTTAGTAAAAAGGCCATTTCATATTTTGGAAGTGGATAGAAGCCCATCAACCTAATATGAAAAGGTGATAACCACATTGCCAGAAAGAGCTACTTTACTGTGATATCTAAAATGATGAGTGAGGCAAAATGCTTCTGAGATCAGAACGATGAACTTTGTTTCACTTTTATACTGTCTTATAATTTTGTGAATCAATATGCTGGCACCTGAATTTGTAGATATTTCCATGTCTTCATCAGTGGTAAATTTCTGTCAGTATGTACTTAGGGATCATTTAATTTGCTTTACAAGGCTAAAAAAAACCCTATGCTTTGAGAATCATGAAGTGTCAACAGCATAAAGAATGGAAAAAGGATAAACTTCAAAAAGCACACATTCAGAATCTGCCTTTTATAGTTGTTATCACAAGACAAAGAATTGACACCATGTTACTTGTCAAAGGGAGTTGTTCACGGCTGTATAAGCTTTCAAGGGAGTGTGAATAAGGAGTGATGCTCAGTGAAGACTTAACTTTAGAAAACGAGGAAATTCTGAATTAAAAGAGCCACTAGAAGGCACTGAATGCACAGTACTTGGAATTGCATAACAAGGGACATCACATGTCTTTGGCCTCTACCAGTGCCTGTAAGGACAAAATCAAGAGTGATAAAACAAGTTAGATAACTCATAGCTAAACTTAAGTCAAAAACAAAGAATTTTCTGTGGGGGAAGAAAAAGAATGGGACTAAATGAAATAAATTAAGGAGATATGCTTGTAAAAATATTGGAGTTCTCAAATTAAGATTTATGTTTCTTTTTCAATAATTAAATTTTTATTTTTAATGAAGTATATTTGATTTACAATATTAGTTTCAGGTATATAACATAGTGACTCAATATTTTTATAGACTAAACTCCATTTAAAGTTATTACAAAATAACAGCAGTATTTCCCAGGGCTGTAAAATATATCCTCATTTTATACTAAGTATTTTATTTCTTAATCCCCGTCTCTATCCTGGTCTCCCCTTCTCTCTCCCCACTGGTAACCATTAATTTGTTCTCTATATCTGTGAGTCTGTTTGTTTTGTTATATACATTCCTTTGTTTTATTTTTTTAGATTCCACACATAAGTTATCATATAGAGTATTTGTCTTTCTTTGTCTGACATATTTCACTAAGCATAACATACACTATGTCCATCCACATTGTTGCAAATGGCAGAATTCCATTCATTTTTATGGCTGAGTAATATTCCATTTGTATTTATATACTACATCTGGTCTATCTATTAATCTGTTGGATACATAGGCTGCTTCCATATTTTGGTTATTGTAAGTAATGCTGCTGTGAACATTGAGTTACATGTATCTTTTCAACTTAGTGTTTTCATTTTCTTTGACTATATACCCAGGATGGTAATTGCTGGATCATATGGTAGTTCTGTTTTTAGTTTTTTGAGAAACTTCCATTCTGTTTTCCATTGTAGCTGCACTAAGATACATTGGCATCAATTGTGTATGAGGATTCTCTTTTCTCCACATTCTCAGCATTTGTTATTTGGAGACTTTTTAATGATAGACATTTTGACATGTGTGAAGTGGTATCTCATTGTGGTTTTGATTTGCATTTCTTTGATGACTGGCTATGTTGAGCATCTTTTCATGTACCTGCTGGCTATCTGTATATTTCCTTTGGACAAATGTCTTTTCAGATCTTCTGCCCATTTATTAATGGGACTCTTTTTTTATAATTGAGTTGTGTGAGTGGCTTATATATTTTAGATATTAATCTCTTATTGCTCATATAATTTGCAAATATTTTCTCCCACTCAATAGGTTGTCTTTGTTTTGTTGATGTCTTCCTTTGCTGTGCAATAACTTTTAAGTTTAATTGGGCCTCATTTGTTTATTTTTGCTTTTGTTTCTTTTACCTTGAGATAAATCTGAAAAGGTATATTGTTATGATTTATGTCAGTGTTCTGCCTATGTTCTCATGTAGGAGTTTTATGGTTTCTAGTCTTACATGCAGGTCTTTAATCCATTTTTAGTTTATTTTGATATATAGCATCAGAAAATGTTCTAATTTCTTTCTTTTGCTGTTCAGTTTTCCCAGCACTACTTATTGAAGCGATTTTCTTTTCCTATGGGATATTCTTGCCTCTTTTGTTGTAGATTGACCATAGATGCATGGGTGCATGGGTTCATTTCTGGGCTCTCCTTTCTTTTCATTGATCTGTGTGTCTGTTTTTGTGCCAGGTCAAAGCTGTTTTGACTACTGTGGCTTTGAAGTATAGTCTGAAATCAGAGAGCATGATAACTTGAGCTTTGTACTTTTTTCTCAAGATTGCTTTGGCAATTTGAGGTCTTTTGCTGTTCCATATAAATCTTAGAATTATTAGGTCTTGTTTGGTGAAAAGTGTTATGTCTGTTTTGATAGGGATTGTATTAAACATGTACATTTCTTGGTGTAGTCTGGACATTTTGACAATAGTAATTCTTCCAATCCAAGAATACAGGGTCTTTCCATTTCCTTGTATCATCTTCAATTACCTTAATCAGTGTTTTGTAGTTTTCAGAGTATAGATCTTCACCATCTTGCTTAAGTTTATTCCTAGGTATTTTATTCTTTTTGATAACTTTAAACAAATTATTTTTTTCTCTTTATTATTAGTGCATAGAAAAGCAACTGATTTCTGTATATTAATGTTGTATCCTGCAACTTCACTGAATACATTTATTCTAATAGTTTTTTGGTGGAGACTTGAGTTTTCCATGTATAGTATTATGTGATCTGTAAATAGTGAGAGTTTTACTTCCGCCAATTTAGGTGCCTTGTAGTTTTTTTTCTTTTTTCTCTTTTCTGCTTGCTGTGGCTAGGACTTCCAATACTGTGTTAAACAGAAGTGTCAAAAATGGGCATCCTTGTCTTGTTCCTGATTTTAGTAAAAAGCTTTCAGCTTTCCAGAAGTAAACATGATATTAGCTGTGGGTTTGTCAATATTGTTATTTATTATGTTGAGACATGTTCCCTCTATACACACTTTGATGAGAGCTTTTATCATGAATGGAGTTGAATTTTCTCAAATGCTTTTTCTGGATCTATTGAAACTATCATGTGATTTTTATTCTTCCTTTTGTTAACGTGGTGTATCACATTGATTGGTTTGCAAATGTCAAACCATTCTGTGACCCTATAATAAATCCTACTTGATCATGGTGTATGATTCTTTTTATGTATTGTTAGGTTCAGTTTGCTAATATTTTGTTGAGGATTTTTGCATCTATATTCATCAGATATATTTGTAGGTTTTTTTTTTTTTTTGTAATGTCTTTCTCTGGTTTTGGTATCAGGGTAATGGTGGCCTTGTAGAATGAATTTGGGAGTGTTCCATCCTCTAATTTTTTGGATATTTTGAGACAGATAAGGTCTTCTTTATATGTTTGATAGATAGATTCTCTTGTAAAGCCATCCAGTCTTGGACTTATGTTTGCTGGTAGTTTTTTGTTTTTTGGTTTTGTTTTGTTTTTTATTACAAATTCAGTTTCACTAGTGATCAGTCTCTTCAGATTGTCTGTTTCTTCCTGATACAGTCTTGAAGGGTTGTATGCTTCTAGAAATGTATCCATTTCTTTTAGGTTGTTTAATTTGTTGATATATAAATGTTCATAATATTATGATTTTTTTGTTTCTATGATATTGGTTGTTATTTCTCCTCTTTCATTTCTTATTTTGTTTATATGTGTTCTTTTTTCTGGGTTAGCCTGGCTAAATGTTTCTCACCTTTGTTCATCTTTTGAGAAAAACAGCTCTTCGTTTATTAATCTTTTCTAATTGTTTTGTCTCTATTTTATTTACTTTCCTTCTGATCTTTATTATTTCTTTCTCTCTGCTGACTGGGGGCTTTGTTCTTTTTTTACTTCCTTTAGATAGTAATTTATGTTGTTTATAGTAATATATGCCTACCTCAAGAAACAAGAAAAATCTTATAAACTTCCCTGCTTTTGATGCATCACATTGATTTTGTAAGTTTGTGTTTCCATTCTCATTAGTCTCAAGGTGTTTTCTGATTTCCTCAATGAATTCTACTTTAATCTATTGGTTTTTTAGTCACATGTTGTTTAGTCTCTATGTTTGTGTTCTTTTCCCATTTTCCTTCCTGATTTAAGTCTTACACTGTTGTGGGTAGAAAGGATGTTTGATATAATTTCTATCCTCTTAAATTTGTTGAGACATGTTTCATGGCCAATATGTGATCTATCCTGGCAAATATTCCACATATGCTTGAAAAGAATGTGTATTATGGTGTTTTTGTATGGAATTTCCTATAGGTTTTCTATTAAGTCCAAGTTGTCTAATGTGTCATATATGATCACTGTTCCCTTATTGATTTTTTTAGTCTGGATGATCTATCCATTGATATATATGTTGTATTAAAGTCCCCTACTATTATTACATTATTGTCAATTTCTCCCTTTATAGATGTTAATATTTGCTTTATATATTTAGATGCTCCTGTATTAGGTGCATATATGTTAAAAAGGATTAAGAAAAGAATATATACTTCTTACCACATAGAATGCCTTCTTTGTCTTTTGTTATAGCTTTTGTTTTAAAGTCATTTTGTCTGTATTTTATCCTTGCTTTCTTGTGTCCAGTTACATAAAATATCTTTTCCCATCCCCTCAACTTTCAGTCTGTGTATCTTTAGCTCTAAAGTGGTCTCTTGAAGGCAGCAAATAGATGGGTCTTGGCTTATTATCTAAGGTCACCTTTTGTCCTTTGAAAAAAATTTAGTCTCTTGACATTTAAAGTGGTAATTAATATGTATGTATTTATTGCTATTTTGTTTCTTGTTTCCTTGTTTTTGTAGTTCTGTTTTTTCTTCTTTTTTTAGTTTCTTCTCTTCGGGTTTGGTAATTTTTTTAGTGGTATGCTTGTGTTCCTTATTCTTTAGTTTTTATGTATCTCTCATGAGCAGAATCAAGGCTTCCCACAGCTCTCTTGTTAGACACCAGCCTTCCAACCAGCCAAGGGGATTTGTCTTCCAGGTGTCAGACCCCAGGCCTGGGGTGCCCACTATGTGACTTGAACCAATAATTGCCCAGGTAGGAACTCCACCTGTGTAATCGCCTCTTCTGAGTCCCTGCCCAGGAGCACAAGTCCCAAACTGATGGCTTGCTTTCCTTCCTAGCCAGTTCTGTATGGATCTGTTGTATAGCCTTGGTTGTATAGGGGTCTTTCTGCAAGTCTCCAGTTAGTTTTCAGTTAGAATTGTTCCACATGTAGATATATTTTTGATATGTTATAGGAGAAGGTAAGTTACACATACTCCTACTCCACCATCTTAATCTCCTCAGTAATTTCAAATTTTAGTTGGATTACTCTGACCAATACATTAGTATAAGTAAATTCAGGATTCCAGTTAGGAAGTAACTAATAGCAAATGCTTACATTGCACTTACCACATTTTGGCCACTTATTCTAAGCATATTATGTGAAATAACTCATTTAATCCTCACAATAAATATAATTAGAAGAAATTTGGTAATAAACACTTACCCTAGGTTAAAATTTTTTTCATACCATGACTTTGGGTGTTATCTTGGTTTAATGAATTCTTTGTTGGATGTTATAATGTAATTTGTAAAGGAATCTAATGACAACAGAGTGTGTAAGTACTAATCAGCTGGCTTTAGAGGCTAAGGGTACTTGTACCAACATTTGTAACCCTGTAAAAAGGAAAAAAAAAAAACGTAAAGAAGCTTCAAAAGGAAATTTTCTTTCTTATCTGTCTAAAGTATGGAGCACTTGTATAATAGATTGCTAGAGCTGCCGTAACAAAATGTCATGAACTGGGTGACTTGAACAACTGAAGTTCATTGTCTCAAACTTCTGGAGGCTAGAAGTTCAAGATCCAGGTGTAAACAGGGTTAGTTACTTCTAGGGCCTGTCTCCTTACATTACATCTCCTCCCTGTGTCTTTTTCACATCATCTTCTTTCTATACTTACCTATCTCTCTGTACACCTTTTTACTTTGTATAAGGACACTATACATATTGGATTAGGGCTTGCCCTATCAACCATATTTTAACCTAGTTACCTCTGTAAAAACTCTTATCTCTACATAAGATCAAATTCTATTGTACTGGAGAGTAGGACTCCAACTTTTTTGAGGGGGAAGGTCACAATTTATAATAACTTGGTTTAAGATATGAAGACTACCATTACTTTCACATGAAACATTTGAAATCTCACCTCCTTGTGCCTCCAACCAGCATGTTTTATCTTCACCATTGATTTATAGTTCCTCTATCTTCTCTATTCTTTGTCCAAAATTCCTTTGATGTAGACATTTGGTGCCCAGGAGTCCTGGATTTATATCAATCCATTATGAAAAGAAAAGTGGCTAAAAATCTTCCAAACAGAACCCTAAGAAACTTTTTTTTTAAGTGAGAGTAACTTTCACCCAGAACTAAATAAAGCAAGGAAAGTAAGGCAGAACTTAGATCAAGGTATGTCTTACAGCTTTTCATGAAAATTGTAAAAAATGGAAAGATCCATTCATAGGATACTTTAGAACTAATTTTCAAGATTCTTTTAAGCAATAATCTGGGGGTACACTTGAAAACTAATGGAAGTTTCTTTTTCTCTTCCCCTATCTCCCCTTCCCTACTTTAAGACTTTAAATAGTAAATTTATTCAGAAAAAAATAAATAGAATAATAAATTGAAGATTTGGGAGATTTCTCAACTGCAGCTGAATTAATTAGGAAGTATCATTGCCTTGAATTCATGTAACCATTCACTATTTTAACATATTAATCAATTATTTATCTTACTCTTATTTTATAAGGAAGATCATGTTTCTGTAACTTAGAAATACTAGTACCCAGAGCAGATCTTTTTTAACATATCTATACCAAACCCCTGTTTTAGTATGATTGTTAATGAGTCTTACCTTAAAATTTAAAAGTAACAATAACAATCTAGTTTATGGGGTAACAACGACACTTCTTGTATACTTTTCTCAAAAAGATCCTAAGAGAATTAAAACAGTGCTTAGGTATAATGTCAAAAGCTCAAAACTAACACGTAAAATCAATGAATCACTGAAGTAGCAATTAGTAAAATTTTATTGTGCACATACCAAAAAGTTTGCAAGCCAAGAGCACTCAAAACAGAATGAGGCTCAGAGGTATACTGTTATAAAGCAATTTAAATAGTGAGAAAGCAGTGACTACTTATTCTTTACAGTGACTGGTTAGAATAGTAGAATTTTCTTAAATGATAGGAGGTAACCACTAACCAATTCCCTATCAAGCTTGAGAAACAGGTTAAGTTTTGCTTATGATTTGCAGAAGCATAAACAAGACATGACACAGGTCAACTTAGTAATTAAGCTTCATATGACTGAACTTGTATTGCCTGCTCAGGGGATTTTCAAGGTTGGTCTCTGTTTCTGATTTTAATGACACTTATAAATAATTTATTATGTACTAAGTCAGAATGTATTGCATATTTAGTAAAGATAATTAGGAGACTGAAGACAATTAATTTTGGATAAAACTGTTTCTTTGGTGATTACAATTTTGTAAAAAGAAGAATAGTTTAACATTTGTCATTTGATATTTTCAATTCCATGATAAACACATTAGTATAAATTAGATATAATCATACTGGAAGCAACAAAGTGAATAAAAAAATAATCTCACAAGACAGTGGTGTATGTAATTTTAAAAGCATCTCTATGAAGAAAATACTTCTTGTAAATCTGATTTGTTGTTTACCACATACAAAGGCTTAGAGAAGAAAAGGTAGATTAGTTTATTATTATTCTACATTTTTCCCTTCTATTTGACAATAGAATGTTTTTCTTCTGTAATGCACATAACAGTATCTTGTAGCACAGACCTTAATTCAGGAAAGGAGAAAGCAATTACAAAACATGAATAAAGTAACTGTCCCTGAAATTAAAAATGATAAAGTGAAATAAACAATTTGAGAAAAACAAAGTCTTCTTGCAAGGTTCCTGGAGCTGTCTCTTGTCAAATCCTAGCATATAAAATGGAAGTAAGGAATCAATATTATAATAAATCTGAATCCTAAAAAATTAATCTTAATGAAAATATTTGAATGGGTAGGTGTGCCACAGCATAAGGTCAAGAGGGTGGAGCCACTGGCCCCGCTGGCAGTGAGAAGACAGAGCACTGAGTCACAGAGGGTTATCCCTAACGAAGTGCTATACTGAGTTGAGGACTTGGTTGGGATTCTTGACTTTTTTCACTCCTATTTATCCCTTTTAGTAGGAAATCTACCCTATGCATATCTCCCATTGTATTTTGAAAGCAGATAACTTTTTCCTAAGTTGACAGGTCCACAGATAGAAAGCAGTTTCGCCCCATAATGGATCATACTAGAGTTTCACCCACACCTGATTTAAAAGATTTAGAAAATATGATTTGAGATTTTTTGAGTTGATTACATTGAGATGATATTTTGAACTTAAAGTTGATACTAGAATGGATTAAGACTTTTGGGGATGTTGGAACAGTATGAATATACTTTGTATGTGGAAAGAATGAAAATTTGGAGGGAACAGTAGAAGAACTGTTCTGGGTTGAATAATTCTCCCCCAGATTCATGTCCATCTCAGTCCTGCAGATGTGACAGTATTTGGAAATAGGATTTTTGTGGATGTAATCAAGTGATGAGTACATTCTTGATAAATCCAATGATGTGTGTCTATGTAAGAGAAGGAGGATATGTGAATGCAAAGACACAAAACCATACAGAGGAAAGATGGCCATGTGAAGCTGCAAGCAAAAATTGTAATGATACAGCCATGAGCCAAGGAATGCCAAGGATTGTTTGCGAACCGCCAGAAGCTAAAAAGAGACGAGAAGGATTCTTTCCTGGAAACTTCAGAAAGAGCCTAGTGCTGCTGACACTTTCATTTCAGACTTCTAGCCTCCAGAACTGTGAGAGGACAAACTTCTGTTGTTTGAAGCCATCTAGTTTGTTGCACACTGTTATGGCAGCTCTGGGAAACTATCACACTGTTCACCCCTCTGGTTTCATCTAACATTGAATGTCCTCGATGAGCCTTTTCTAACAGTCACCAAGCTAAGTGTCTCTCCATAGTACTTCTCATTTTGCCCTTTGCATTGTCATTCACATCACTAAATACATTACTTTGTTGACAGAGATCTTTCAGGTATCTACTACTCTAGTGTGCCTCAAGCTGACAAATATCTTATTCTTTGCAACACTAGCACCTAGAAAATTTCCTGTCACTAAGAACAAAGTCAAAAAAAAAAAACCTACAGAGAATAACTTTGATTGTGGTACAGTTATTGTGCAACAATCTAAAGATAGAAAGAGTACACTTTGCTGAGTATTGACATATGAATGTACCTGTCAAAGTGTTACCTAATCAAGATACCACGCTGTTCTATTGAAAAGGACCATTAAATTGAGTAAAACATTTTAGTTTTGGTGAAACAAATCTTTATAATTTATAAGTCAAAGAATAATTTTTGTCCACTGTTGTCCTTACTTGTGACAAGAATAACATTGGCAATGATATAAAGTACATATCAAAATAATATGAATATTAAAATTAACTTGTCATTAAAATAGAAATTATACCAAGTGCAAAATATAATAAATTTTGACTAATATTAAGGGAGATTCCTTTGTAAATAAAGTATGTTCCAGTATTTTGCCAACAAATTGCATCTCATTATCAGTTATGATTGTGAAAGATAAATATACAAAATAACAGCAAGCTCATTAAAGATAGACTTAAATATTTGCAAATTTCAAGTGAGTTTTATTTCTGAGAAGAGAATATAATAGTTAAAAATAATTAAGAAAATAATGGATTAAGTGCTCATTTTCTTCACATAGTTTAAAGAAGCACATCATAGTGCGTTCAAAGTGCTTAATGAGTGTAAACCCACGTTTTAATTATTATTCAGAGATCAGTAGCTGATACTGTATATCAATATACTTACAAAAACAATTTCAGGAGAAATCTAAAACTGTTAGAGTTTTAAAATCAAACAATAAGTGACTTTATCAAATGGCAAAATGAAGGTAATTTACTGGACTGAAATTTGATAAATATTTGTAAGTTAAATAATGTATATAATTATAAAACATTAATAATTTTAACAAAATACAATAGTTTCTTAGATCTATTCCTTTTGCTTTAAACAATCTGAATTTTTTCTAAATTATGAATGTTACCATTTTTGCTTTTACTTCATCACTCATTTCATTTATAATTTAAACACATATCTAACAGGACTTCTGGTTTCAGCCCTAACACATAAAGAACAGTGAAGTCAAACCTTTAATATGCACAAAAACAACAAAACTCCCCCTGAAAACCTGAAAATTAATGTATCGTTTTGTACTCAATATGGGATAGAGCTTGCAGGGCAAATCAACCACCTCAAAGTTAGAAGCAGGTGAACCAACACAGCCACAGCAACGATGCTTATCTGAAGGGAAAAGTTACAGGAGCCAAAGATGGTAGGGCCTTTGTTAATCGTAATACTGATGAATTGCTGAATATTGATGAACTAATGTGAGTGAAAAATTCCTGGATACTACAGTCCTAAGGGAAACCCCCAATTTTGTGTATTTTACCTACAAAAATATCACCAGATTCTCACAGTAAAGAGTCAAAATGGATTCCTTCCTGGCTCTAGAAGTAGGAGTGGGAAAAGTAACCATGTTCGGTCCTTACGGCTGCTGTAACGAATCATTACAAATGCGATGGCTTAAAACAAGAGAAATGTATTCTCCTACAGTTCTGAAGTCTAAACACTGAAAATAGTTTCACTGACCTAAAATTAAAGGCCGTGCTCCCTCAGGAGACTCGAGGGGAGAATTCATTTCTTGCCGTTTCCACCTGCTGGTGGCTGCTGTTGTTTTTGACTTATGGCCACATCATTCCAATCTCTGCTCCTCTGGCCATGTATCCTCTTCTTTTATGTGCCTCTCTTATAATGACATATAGGGTGGAATGTAGGACCTATCTGGGAAATCCAGGATAATCTTCCCAATGTCAATATCCTTAACTTAATCGTATCTGCAAAAAGCATTTTTCCTTATAAGGTAACATTTACATGTTCCATGAATTAAGACCTGACATATTTGGGTGGCCATTATTTTACTACAACACTGGGCATTTTGAAATATGCACCGAACAGTGTCTATAACAATAAGCTAATGCATGAGAAAAGTCTTTACTATAGTCTTATCCCACCTGGGGAAGAGTATTTACCCCAAACAAATCCCATTTAGTTTTCCTGTCTCATATAAATGGGGGAAAAAAAAACCTGTACAAATAAAGAAACA